CTTTCAAGTTGGGGTCTTGCTATGTAGTCAAGTTAGCCTTGAATTGAGTGCAGAGATTTAATAAGGTGAGAATGTTCACCTGTTTTTGGTGTGTGTGTGTGTGCGTGTATGTTGTGTGAACATGTTTGTGTGGTGGAGGCCATATACCAAACGTAGGTGTCTTTCTCAATCACTCTCTAGCTTATTTCTTTTTGGACATGGTCTCTCACTCAAACTACAGCTCACCAATAGGCTACACTGGCTGTCCAGGAAGCTCTAGGCATCTGTCTGTCCCTGCCTCCCCACTGATGGGATTACAGGTGCACACTGCTATGCCCTGATTTTTACATGAACGCTGGGAATCCACACTCAGGTACTCATGCTTGCATGACAAGCACTTTACCAGCCTAACCATTTCCCTAACTCTTGAAATTTCACATTTGAATATAACACTTCAGTAGTAGATATTTCTTATAAATTTGTATGGTTGCTATCTCATAGTTTCAGTTGACTTATTCCTCCATCCAACATCTGCTGGTGTAGCCAGAAGTTTCTCCCGGCCTGCCCAGCTCCACAGTCCTGCAGCCGCCTATAAAATAATCACTCAGAGGCTTAATATTAATTGCAAATTCTATGGTCTATTGGCTCAGGCTTCTTGCTAGCTATCTCTTACAACTTAACTCAACCCATAACTATTAATCTATGTATCACCATGTGTTCCATGGCTTTATCTGCGTCCCATTACATGTTGCTCCTTGGACCGTGGTTTGGCATCTCCCCCCACTCTCCTTTCTCCTCTATCTGTCTTGGATTTTCCCACCTGGCTCCATCCTGCCCTGCCATAGGCCAATTCAACTTTATTTATTAGCCAATGAGAGCAACACATATTCACAGCGTACAGAAAGACATCCCACAGAACTTCCCCTCTTCTGTCTAATTAAAAAGAAAGATTTTAACTTTAACATAGTAAAATTATATATAACAAAGCAGTTATCAAACAAGAATTATAGTTACAATATCTAGTCTATTTGTATTTGACAAAATTAAAGAAAATATTCTATCATCTATCCTATTTTGTGAGTCTAGTTTTATATCTAATTTACCTTTTTTTTTTATTTTTTATTTTATTTATTTATTTATTTATTTTTTTTGGTTTTTCGAGACAGGGTTTCTCTGTGTAGCTTTGTGCCTTTCCTGGCTGGCCTCGAACTCACAGAGATCTGCCTGGCTCTGCCTCCCGAGTGCTGGGATTAAAGGCGTGCGCCACCACCACCCGGCGCTTAATTTACCTTTTATCATGACTAAGGAAAACTATAATTATAATTATCTAGTCTTCAACTTCATCAACAACCCCGGAAGGATTATAATATTACCTGAGTAAAGAAGAAATGCATTGCAAGCAACTTTTATAATTCTAGAAATGACAGAGATAGCTGGTTGCCTAGACAGTCACCCAAAGTTTTTCTGTAATGTTGGGGCATCCATCTTTAGCCTATGGTCCTAGAGTCTCTCAGTCGCTCTTTCCTGTGTCCTGTAGAATGTATGGAGTCTCCTCTGCGAAGCAGGGACCCAAAGGACCATTTCACCTTGTTATGGCAAAATTTAGTGGTCATTTTCCTATGGGTCCTGTATGTCCAGTTTATACAACATATTATCAAGCAGTCTAGGCAAGAGCAGTTTCTTGCCCAAATGGCTATTTTTGCCATAAAGAAAGCAAATTCCATGTGGAGTTTCTTTGATGCCCATCATCCTCTTTGAAATAATTGGTACTGCCAGGAGCAGACATGTCTCATTGTCTAGAAAAGTTTAAGTTTTTAAAACATTTAAAATGCCATATTCTGTAGGTCTCTGAAGTGTTTGAAGATTATCTACCTAATTGAAATATATCCATGTATACCATGTTAACTAACATGACTATAAGTTTGATTATCACAGATGACTATTAATCTGTATTTCTTAATGACATATTACAACTTCAAATGAGTTACATAAACATAATACCTCAAACAAGAGTAAAATTATACATAGATAAGACTATAACAAAATTAACTTTATTTTCTTTTAAGGAAATTAGATTTTTTTAAATTTCAGCTGCTTTGAATAATTTCTAAAAGCTTTCAACAATTTATACCCAGAAAGATGTGCCAGTTTTGATTCTGTTTTCCTTACCTCCAGAGTTATGAGTCCCAGACTATAAGGTCACAGACAGTCATGCTTGGATGAAACGTCTTTGGTTCCAGTGATGCTCTGTATTTCACGTTTCACGTCATCAAAACATAGCCAATGTCTTGTCTTAAACTTAGTGAAGCTGAATCTGACCACCTGAGTTCATGTGGTAACAGTCCGATCTCTTCTATAAAGTTAACCTTTTCTTTTTTTGTCAATAATAAATGAGCTATGGGTAGGTGGCAGGATGTGGACCTCAAAATTCCCATAACCCAGTTGCCTAATAATTTTAACATCTGTTCATTCATATACATTTAGTAGTTGACACTTGTCCTGGTTAGGTTGTTTTTTTTTGTTGTTGTTGTTTATTTTGTTGTTGTTGTTTTTTTTGTTTTTGTTTTTGTTTTTGTTTTTTGTCAACTTGACACATGCTACAGTAATCTGGGAAGAGGGAATCTCAATCTCAATTGAGGACCGGCCTCCATCAGACTGGCCTGTAGGGTCTGTGGGACATATTCCTGATTAATGATTGATGTGGGAGGGTTCAGATCACTGTGGGTGGTGCCACCCATAAGATGGTGGTTGGTCCTGGGTGGTATAAGAAAGCCGAGCAAGCCAGGAAACAGTGCTCCTCCATGGTTTCAGCTTCAGTTCCTACCTCCAGGTTCCTGCCTTGAGCTCCTGCCCCCGACTTCTTTAATGATGAACTGTAACTGTAAGCTGAAGTAAACTCTTTTCTCCCCAAGTTGCTTTTGTTCATGGTCTTATCACAGCAACAGAAACCAAGCTAAGAATTCATGTGGAAGGAGGTTTATCATCAATAGGACTACAAACTTGCTTTGTAGCCAAGGTTGTCCCTGGAACTTCTGATTCCCTTACTTCTGCCTCTCAAGTGCTGGAATTACAGCTGGGTACCATCTTGTCCAGCATGTTCATCTCAAAGCTGTTTAGATAAAACTTCAAGTCTAGACTGTACCTAGCATACAGTATGTATTCGATAAAAGTTAAAAAAAATGAATAGTCCTATCACAAGTGTTTTAAATGTATTAAGACCTTGCTCTCTAGGACTCATAACTCTGGAGTTAAGGAAAACAAATCAAAACTGGCACATCTTTTTGGGTATAAATGGTTGAAAGCTTTTAGAAGCTTTCAAAGAAGCTGAAATTAAAAAAAATCTAATTTCTTTAAAAGAAGATATACTTTTTTTCCCAAATACATATTTCATCTGTGGTTTTACAGTTGCACTTGGAAATATACATCTGACCCCCAAAGATTAAGATCCTTCCATTTGTCTTTTGGGGTGTTTTGCAGCAAATGCCCGAGAAGCAGAAGGTGTGTTTTGTGATTTCTATTTTACATCTTCATGTAAGAAGGTAAGCTTATGAACACCTTGGCGTGGAGGCTCAGGCTTATAATACCTTGGGAGGTAGAGGCAGGAGGATCAGGAGTTTAAGGCCATTCTCTGCTCCACTGCAGAATGGGAGGCCCTCCTGGGTTATATGAGACTGTCTCAAAAAAAAAAAAAAGCTATGAACAAGGAGGAAACCATCTATTGTTAACATCGGTAGTGGTGGTTTAACTCTTTATAAAGCGATATCCACACTGCCTTCTCTTAACCTTACCACTTCCTCTTGAATAGAACAGACAGCAGGGATCGTCAACATCCCCTTTTTACAAAGGAGGAAACTGAGATTACTAAATGTGTTCCAAAGGCCTCCTGGGAATGAGCAAGGGGATTGCCACTATTGAAAAAGGATTGATACTTATTAAGACGTCATTAACTCTATTGTGAATGTGAGCACCGGGGTGCTACGCTACCAATCAAACCTAAGGCCCCTCTATGCAGGGCCGGAGCTTTACCACCGGACACGTCTCCACACTCCTCCCCAATGAAGTCCCTATCAAGTCTCCTGCAGTTGGAGTCATGAAGGGGAAACTCAGCTGGAGATCTGTAGCTGGGGAACAAAGAGTGAAGTGAGCCGGTGGACAGAAAATTACTAAGAGGACAACCATGGCAGGGGTATTCTTGCTAAGGGCAGACCGCGGATTTACATCAAAGGTGGGACGGTAAATCCGTTCAGATATTGAGTATTAAAATATCAAGCATGATCAGACAGCAAGAAGGATTCTTGCAAAAACTGAGCTCAGCTAGAACCACGAGGAAGGCCTCTCCCAGAAGGGGGCTTAGAGGTAACAAACTTAAACAATTCGGTGAGGGCGAGCCCGCCACGGTCCCATCCTCACGGGAGGAGAGGGGTGGCAGGCCGTCGGAGCTGCGGGATGGTGTCCCCCGGGTCCGGCTCTCCTTTAAAGGAAGGATCGCCTAGCAAGCACCAAGGGCTGAATGGAAAAAGAGAGGGCTCGCAATCCTTGCAACTCGCCCCGCCCCCCCGTCCGCCGGCTCCCAGATTCAGGGCGGGCTCTGCCGGTCGGCGGACGGGGTCGCTGACGCTGATTGGCTACCGGCGCGGGCTTGGGGGTTTCCCCGACTCCGCCCCATCCCCGACTCCGCCCCGTTGTCGCCTGGGCGCGCTCCTTCAGCCCGCGAGAGCGCGCTCAGGCTTCAGCCGTACCGCCAGGCGGGAGGAGCCGGAGCCCGCGTCCCTCCCTCTCTTCGCCCTCCCACCCCCACGGGTCCTCATCCTTAAAGCTCGAGTCCGCTCGCCCCGCCTGTCTGGAGAGGGTACCGGGCAGCGGCGAGCGTGCGGCCGCGGCGAGCCAGCGCTGACAAGGGCAGGCGCCCGGAGGCGACGGAGCGGCGGCAGCTGGCCCCGAGTCCCCGTTGAAGAGGAGGGGGGGCGGGTGGAGGGGACGGGACGGTGAAGGGAAGAGGGGTCCAGGTCCTGCTCGCAGCCCTGCATGGTCGCAGCGCTCAGCCTGGCCCATTCTGCCCAGACGCAGCACCCGCTCAGTACCCGAGGCGCAGTCGCTTGGGGCCGCCGCCATCCCGCGGGCGAGCCTCCCGGGCATTGGCTCTCCCGACCCGCCGCGGTCCGTTCCAACCGCCGCCCGCCCCAGGTAGCCGTCCGGCCGGAGACCATGTTCGACAAGACGCGGCTGCCGTACGTGGCCCTCGATGTGCTGTGCGTCTTGCTGGGTACGTCAGGCGCCGCGGTCCCCGGGGGTCTTCCGGGCGGGCGGGGGACGGGGGGCGGGAGGCGGGGAGGCCGGGGTTGGAGCGGGGTGCGGGGGGGCGACGACGACCCTGCCGCGGAGCCGCGCACTTGGTGGTGTAGGGTGGGTGTGCCCGGCCCCCGCGCGCGCGTGCGCGCGTGCGCCGCCGCCGCCGCGGCTGCGGGAAGAGAGTTGTCCCGGGAGCCCGCTTGCGCAGCTAAAGGGGGGACTCCCCCCCCCCCAGCTTCTGCATCCTGCACTCTTGGCTCCCGCGTGGGCTCCCCCTGCCTGTCTGCCGGTGCGCTGAGTCCTAGCCCTGCTTGGCCGCTCTTCTCGCCTGTGCTGTTACCCTCTCTTCCCCCCCCCCCCCCCTGGCCACACTCCACCGGACAGGGTGGGCTCCTCCCTCTCCACGGTGCAGAGAAGCCTAGCCACTGGCTCATCAGGTTCTGCAGCGCAGCTGGAGGTTTGATGCAACCCCCCCCCTCTCCACCCCCCTCCAGGCTTCTCTGGAGCACCAGGCTCCAGTGCCCGGTGTACCATAACTTGTGAGAAAGCACTTTAAAGTTTTCGACTATAAAAGGCTTAGAACGTTCCTAATTAGAAGGCGTTGCCAGGTTGTAAATTGTCAGGTTGCAAGAGGGGAGGATGAGGATGCCAGGTTTCTGCCTGGTGAGGTGTGAAGAAGGTTGCGTTCCCTCCCCACCTTCCTCCTCCACCCCCAACCCAAACGCAGGAGTCCTGCTGTTTCCTTCTTGCGCAGACCTTGCGGCGGTTTACCTTTCGGTCTCCTGTGACAGACAGCCCAGCAAGGAGTTCTAGACACTTCTCTAGCTACAGCAAAGTCGGCGTTATTTTCCTGATCGGAAGAATTCAGTTTGGGGGGTCTCTGGTCGCCAGGTCTTTCTTTCCGGGGGAAGGAGGCTGGAATCATCTGGACAAGGGCTCGGCTTTGGAAGCAGTGGCTGCTTCCACCTTTTTTTCTGTATAGTCAGTTGTAAACCGTTGGAGGTTTGGGTGATGGTTAAAGTAATTGAAGTAGTCCTGGCAAGTTCTCAAGGCGACTAGTGGCTTTTGCATCTTAGGTACAGATATGCCTACTGGCTTCTCAGAGATAAGACCTATTTCCTCAGGCTTTAATCTAGCAGCTCTTGACTATTCCTCTCTCCCGCTTCCAGCCTGACCGTTTAGACTTCTTGTCAAACTGTGAAAATTTTGGTACATTTTTTTAAAATGCATTTTCTTAGAGTCCTTTCTTAAAAAAAAAAAAAAAGAATCCGTGCAACTTCTCTCTTTACCAGGACACCTTCACCCCGCATTTTCACAGTGAATTGTAGGGTTGGTTTAAAAGAGAGGATTCAGTCTTAGGACAGGCTTTAGTAACATGTGGTAGCCTGTTACCCAGGCACCTGTGAGGTGGAGGCAGGAAAATATTTAGTTCAGATCCAGCCTAGGCTACCTAGGGAGATCCTGGGTCACTAAACAAAAGCAGTCTTTGTGGAAACACCTTTTCAGATGTTAGGGCATATTATTTTAAAATTACTAGCTTAGGAAATACTTTCCTTTTTTCCTTTCTTTTCTTCTTTCCCTCCCTCCCTTTCTTCCTTCTTTCCGGACAGGGTCTTGCAGTGCAGCCTGGTTTGGAACTTGTGCCTCTTCTTCCCCAACCTCCAGAGTGTTGGGGATATTGGCATGCTCTCCCATGCCTGGCTAAATTATGATGTCCTTTTCCTATACCAAACACCGATTAGGAGGGCTGAACCAACCCGTACTACTCATAGGCAGCCACAGCTCATGTTATTAATAGGAGGCCACATGGTAGATCTATCCTTTTAAAAAATTCATGCGTGAGACTGGTGTTCCGGCTCATGCTTGTAATCCCATCACTCAGAAGGTGAAGGTAGGAAGATTGTCATGAGTTAGAGGCTAGCCTGGGCTACAGACATAGTTCAGGTCAGCCTAGTCTACAGAGTGAATCCCTATACTGAACAAATAAACTGACAGAGATCATGTGTAGTGGGAAAATGTGTACGCAGTGAAATTTTATAAGTTATATTTTCTGGTGGCCTGTGTTTTCAACGTGATACATTCTGTTGAGCTTGGAGTGATCTGACTGCCCCAGTTGACCCCACAGTTTCAGGAATAAGATATCTGTAAGGCATTGATCTATATATGTATATATAGTTTTTGTTTTTTTTCAAGACAAGGTTTCTCTGTGTAGGCCTGGTTGTTCCGGAACTTGCTCTGTAGACCCGGCTGGCCTCGAACTCACAGAGATCTGCCTGCCTTTGCCTCCCGAGTGCTGGGATTAAAGGCATGAGCCGCCGCCGCCACCGCCACCGTCGTCCAGCTAATTTGCTTTTTCAAAAAGCTCTTCATCTATTTGAATCTTATCTTATCGGTGTAGTATTGTTTGTTTGTTTTTTCTTGTGCCGCGACTGCAGTTTCTTTTAAAGTAGTTCAGTGCATTGTCAGGATTTCCCTTTTCCTAAGTAGAATGTAACCTACTTATTTTCATTAGATATGTACAGAACGCCGTTAGATTTAACCACATCACCTCTCACACGTAACACGAAGGGAGAATGACGACACAGGACCTTTTAAGACTGACTTTTGGAAGATAGGTTTTTCTAATAAACTTACCCGTTTTAGACGAGTCTGAGGATTGCACTAAATTTGGGATTTATTCACCTTACTGACAGCCAGGGATTGGCAGCCTAAGATTGTCTTTGCTTCAAGAAAGCTTTCAGCCTGGCTTGGACGTTTTCCTTTTCCCCCTTTTCTGTGGAGCGTCTACAGGTAAGGGTTGACTCCATGGGCAGAAAGATGATTAAGCACTTCGTAAGTATAGGTTATGTGAAAGTGATTCATAATTACAATGTGATGTGTTCCACTATCACTCTGTGTGCCCATTTTAATATGATGATGGTACATGGTTTCGTTACACAAGTCATTCATAATTTTTACCCAGGGTGATGTCTTTTGAAGTGATCGTTAAACAGTATGTGCATATGTGTTTATGCGTGTGTTTGTTTCTAAATAAACTCCATTAATTCTTCTATATGTATATCTAAATTATCAGCTCCTTCAGTGGATTTGGTAAATCCTTGAAAAAGGAGATATTTGAGAGAGAATATATATTTGATTCCTCTGAAATGGAGTCTTGTCATCTCCATTTTTTTGAGTCTTTGATTTGACACGCCTACCATTGATATCTGTTTGAATTTGCTTGATTGCTTTTTTTATTTATAGATATGGTCTCACCATGTAGTTTTGGCTGACCTGGAACTCACTATGTGGACCAGGCTGACCTTGAACTCAGAGATCCACCTGCCTCTGACTCCTAAATGCTGGGATTAAAGATGTGCGCCATCACACTTGACCTTACTCCTGTTCTTTTGACCAGTGGTTCTAGAACTGTTGGTAAGTCCATCTACAATCACCTGAACACATAAGAAAAGCTACTATATAGAGAACAATAGAGAGTTGGTATAAAAGTAGCTATTTTAGCCCAATGTATTATACTGTGTCCTGAATATAACTTACTTTTTAATTACTAAGGATCGGTATGTATTTTAGCCACCAGGTAATAGATACCGAGTCCATTAATTGATTCAGTGTACACTGGGAGATGACTTTTGTACCTTGTTAGAGTGCTAGGGATATAAAGGTAAATAGGACAGTCCCCTCCCTAAAGGAGCGCAGAGTCTGATGCAGGAGAAACAAACAGGATGTTACATCATGTTAAGTGTGCTAATGCAGGTATGATGCCCTTTGATCACAGAGAAGGGCCATGTCTTAGATCTATACTGTTTAGAGAAACGGCTTCTCTGTTTACTCTTAGAGATACGGAAATGTCAGAAGTTGCATAGCATTACTCTTAGAATTTTTTCCTACCCATTTTTCAACTTGATCTGGGGGAGTGGGAACTCAAGTACCTGTGCTGGTGATTTATCTCTGGGTAGGCCTGTGATATTTGGAAGACTGGGGTGGAGCTGGCAAAGCTGCCTTCTGCATGTCTATATTTTGCTGTGTAGTGATCCCTGTATAATTCTGTGCTGCACAGACCTTAGACTTAGTGCTGATGTTGCTACCGGAGGAGAAGCCACCGTTCCTAACTGCTGTCTCTACATGCTTTCAAAGTGGCTCCCTCAGCTTTTCCTCTTGACTGTAGCATTTGGGTGTGCTGGGCTTTGTGTTTGGTTGTTTTCTTGTTTGGGCCAGGATCTGATAATACCTATCTGTGTCCAAACTAGAACTGAGAAAGTTTCCTTCTTGCACCAGTCACCAGGTACAGTTGTTTTGATAGCAGATGCAATAGGGTTCTTGCTGGCTTGTTTTTTTAAAGGTTTATTTATTTTTATTTGTGTATGTGTTGTGTGTGTGTGTGTGTGAGAGAGAGAGAGAGAGGGAGAGAGAGAGCGCGTAAGAGCTAGAGAGCCTGTTTGAGTTTTTGTGCCATGTGTGTGCAGTGTCTGTAGAGTAAGATGGTGTCATATTCTCTGGAAAGATGGTTGTGAGCCACTCTGTGGGTGCTAGGAACCAAGACTGAGTCCTCCAAAAGAGCAAGTGTTCTTAACCACTGAGCCGAGCCATCTCTATCCCAGGATGGTCCAGTTTCCTTATCATGTTCCAAATAAAGCATCATTGTGCCGACACACTCCATAGGTGTAGATAAAATTTGACAGCAAAAACATTGGCTACCGACAGTAGGCAGTTATGAAATCTCTGTTACTTGTTAACTCAAATACTGATATGTCATTACCACGATGCTGACATTCTTTTAACACAGTCCCCAAGGAGTGATCCCTTTGCTAATCCTCAGGCTGAGTTGCTTTAAGAGCAGAAAAAAAGATACATGGAAATAGTTCGGTTTCATAGTCTCCAGCATTTTTGTACCTTACCTTTTCTCCTAAAACTAATTCATTCATTCACTTATTTCATACATTTACTAACAGCTGAATAGGTACTAGCTTTAATTAC